TCTTCTTCTTCTTCTTCTTCTTCTTCTTCTTCTTCTTCTTCTTCTTCTTCTTCTTCTTCTTCTTCTGGTATCATACTCTGTCTTAAACTTCAGGTCCTTCTACCTCCATATTCTGTGTTTTGGGATGACAGGGTTTTGTGGTTCTGGAATGGAACCCAGGACTTCATGACTACTAGGTAAGCACTCCACTCACTGAGCCATACCCGCCAGCCATTCTTTCGGCTTTTAGTATGGTCTCCTATGACTTCCATGCCAAGTAGCAAAGGAGAAAAGGTGTCAGCATAACAAAGCCATCAAGGGGATGTGAAAAATGGCTGCTCTTCTGTAAAGGAAGAGAGACCACAGCAGGGCAGTCCTTTGCTGCTTAAGAAACATGATAGTACGATCCAGCTCAGCGTGGAACACACGAGATCAGACAAGGGGCTTGAGAGCCTTAGGTGTTCTTCAAGGAGGCAGAGGATCCCATCAGAAACTGTTGGGGGACCAAGTAATCACACACACACACACACACACACACATACCACATACACACACACACACCACACACACACACACCACACACACACACACACACACACACACACACACACACACACATGACTTCACTGTTTGTGAGTTGTTGCATCCTGCCAGGTTGGACATGGAGAAACAGAAAAACAAAACAAAACAAAAACAAGAAGTTGCCTGGCATGTGTATTTATTCTGGAGTCTTCCTTGGCCTGCCTAACAGCAGGACAGCCAATGCTATGACATCTCTATGGAGACCTAACCCTGCTGTAGAAATGCTGGACACCCGCCTGACTTCTGAACATCAAGTAAACAGGGGTTCTCTTTATCACATCATCTAAAAAAACTTCCATTTTCCTCTGTTCATAAGTACTATTAATTAAAATTATAACTAAGCAGAGAAAATAAAATATTTAACGTACAACAAAATAAGACCTCTTAGCACTGCTAGCCGTTGCTTTAATTTTTGGAGTTTCACAGGAATCATTTGAGATAACGTTAATTAATTAATATTTTTATTTGTTTTTTTTTGAGACAGGCACTCTCTATGTAGCCCTGGCTATCCCTGGAATTCACTATGTAGACCAGGTTGGCCTTGAACTCACAGAGCTCTGTCTGTCTTTACCTCCTGGGTACTAGGATTAAAAGCATTTACCACCACACCATGGCTAGGTTAACATTTAAAGGCAGTCAAAGTTTTCCATACTGCTTGTGGTCTGCGGACCAGCCACACTGGGAGAGGGAAGAAAATAGTTTTCCAGACCCACTAGATCTGAACCAGCATTGAAGCAAGATGCCGAGGCAATGCACTCCATGTTCAAGACAGTCAAGCTCAATGCAGTTTTAAAACTGTCATTTTCAGGACTGGGAGGAGGGGAGAGAGTGGGAACTGGGATTGGTATGTAAAATTGAAATAGATAGTTGGGTGTTTTTTTCTAAGAAATAAAATAAACTATTTTCTTGCCATTAGAAATGTAATGACTTTTAAAGTATAGTGTGTGTGTGTGTGTGTGTGTGTGTGAGTGTGTGTGAGTGTGTGTGTGTCTTCTCTGAAACCCAAACTTGTTTTTTTATACCTGGTCTCATTATATTACCCAGGCTAGCTTCAAATTCTTCATGAAAACATCTTGTCTCGGCCCCTAAAAGGCTGGAGCTATGAGTACCCTACCATGCCAAGGCTTGCTCTCAATTCTTCTCCCTATACATTCTCCCATCTCCCACGCTTACTTGGTAGAACTCTTTGAAATATCACAAGCAATACAAATGAGCACCACCCCCTGAATTCTACAATTTCAGTAAAAATAAATAAATAGATAGATAGATAGATAGATAGATAAAAATCTCTTAATCTTAAACCATAAGAGAGTGATTCTGAAGCCATGATCCTCCGGCCGTAGACATGGTGCCTGGGCACAGACCCACACTGCTTGGGGACTAAGAACGGAACTTAGAGAGGAAACAGGAAAGCGTGAAGGGCTCAGGGTTTACTGGTCGTCTCTGATGGAGTGAGAGATGAAATGGTCTGGGGATACTGAGAAACGGTGACTCGCTTGTTTGGTGTGCGAGTGACCCTGGGTTCAATCTGCACCCTGCCGACCAATAAAAACATAAGTGAAAGACAACTGCTTTGAAGATTAGCAGGAGAGTTCTCATTTTCTCTGTCAGTTCATCAGCAAAAAGAACAAACCGTGTACTCTCACATCTGCTCAGATGTCGAGAATGTCCTTAGCGCTGGCTGTGGGTTTGCTAGACTTTAACTTCCCAATGTAATTCTTGATTCTTCCTTGGTTAAGGCATTAAAACTGGTTATAGGAAGAATGAGAACGCTTCCGGGACTCCGAGTTCCAAAAAAAATCTTGGCCTCGTGTCCACACATGACAGCAGCGTTCAGCAGTTTACTCAAGGAGTGATCCTGAGACATCTACGGTTTCACAGCTGCCTTTGCACACGGCTCCTCTGGAGCAGGAGACAGCAGCCGAGCACCAGGCCTCACCCCGATAGAGGAGAAGGAATTTGTGCCGTGTTTGGGTTACTTCAGTGGTAAACAGTACAGCAGTAGCCGGGACTCTAGTCTAGGATGGAAGGTTTACTCTGTAGAATTGGTCCAAACTGGTGTTTGATGAGATCTCAGGTCCTGGGGAGGAGGACATAAGAAGTTTGTTTAGCAGAATAGACATAGCATTAAATCACCCCCAATTGATCTGTTCACACCGACAGACAAAGGCTACTCTCAGCCTCGCACAGAGACGTCTCTCCTTGCAGTGAACAGAGATAAATGCTAAGACCCATCGATTATGGTACGAGACGCTGGGAACAGAGGATGGTGGGGTCCAGACTAGGCTTAGCCCAAGACAAAATATGTATCCCATCATGTTAAGACTCAAGAAACACTGAGGAAGAGGGTGTGGGAAGAATGTAAGAACCGTAAGTGAGGGAGACTGAGAAGACCATCTTCAAAGCATGACGAGGTCATAGCAACTACAAACTTACAGCCGCTGTGTATACTGACACAGGGTTCATAGAAACTGGAACCTCCTAACAGCCAGTTATTAGAGAGAAAGGACTTACGGGACCCCTACATTTACTGCTGAGCGACTGACAACCAACAGATGCTGAAAGTAGAGAGGCACAGTATTCAATTATACACCCACAGGAGAGCTCTCCAGGCCGTCATGGTTTCTTCCAAACTTGGGGTCATACAGACTGCCCTGGTCAAAGTTGGTAGGCATGAGCTTTGTAAGGAGCAAGAGTTCTTGCAGTGTGGGAAGGAAACAGAGGCGTCTTAGTTAGGGTTTCTGTTGCTGGGAAGAGACACCATGGTCACGGCAACTCTCATAAAGGAAAGCATTTCGGTGGTCTGCGTTGACAGAGATTCAGTCCATTATCATCGTGGTGCGACACGGTTGCGTGCAGGCAGACACGGTCGCGTGCAGGCAGACACGGTCGCGTGCAGGCAGACACGGTCGCGTGCAGGCAGACACGGTTGCGTGCAGGCAGACATGGTGCCGGAGAGGTAGCTCAGAGTCCTGTATCTTGACTAGAAGGCAGCAGGAATGGTCTGTCTCACTGAGTATAGCTTGAGCACAGGAGACCCCAAAGCCCGCCTCCACAGTGACAAACTTCCTCCAGGAAGGCCACGTTTATTTCAACAAGACCATGCCTCTCAGTGCCACTCCCTTTGGGGGCCCTTATCTTTCAAACCACCACAAGGGGTACAGGGGAAGCAACCAGAAACCACAGAACACGTGTGTAAAACGGTGAGAAGACAAAACTAGCTAACAAACTTGAAAGACAGCCAGTTCCTGTAGATCTACCCTTTGTAATAAATTCGAGTAGGAAATGTCTAAGTTGGGTTGTAATGGCGGATGAGGAAGTTCATACTATTGCTGAGATAGGAGTAGGTGTAGCTCAATGCAGGTGAAGGGGCGGGGTCCAGTGGGTTCTGAGGTTGCTGGGGACAGTGTTTGGAGAGAGGTGTGTGCACAGAGTACCTGCAGGTGAAGGAATTGGTATGCCAAGCACATTGTTACAAGGGGTTAGGTGTGTATGACCAAATCCAAACCAAATCAGATCCCAGCGCTGGGCTTGCCTGCCTTGCCTAGCTGTCCCGTCCCTTTGTTCACGCTCGGCAGGGATCCATACATAACTCCAATAAGCCTAGAACAGTGGTGGATACTTACAGGCTCAGCTACTCTTCAGGTTGAGGTTGAAGGATCCCTTGGACCCAGGAGTTTGGAGAAAAAAAAAAACAGCAAAATGAAACTAGGAATACTTAGGAACCTAGACAGGATTCAAACCCTATCGCTCAATATGCAGTGTTAGATACATTACCGACTCCGTTGGTGCTGAGGTTATCTCATTATAGTTTGGAGAGAATGCCAACACCTATCTGATGGGGTTGTTAGAGCAAACTAATGCATGCATTCGAATAGTGCCCAGCACAAAACTGGCACACAGTAGGGTCAACTAGATTTAGTTTGTAAGTAAAGCCACATCTGAGTCCAGTCCTACTTCCTGTCCCTTTCTGAAATGTCATGATGGAATCTCGTTTTGTGGCCCAGGCTGCCCTTCATCTCTCCATCCCCCCCCCCCCCCAGAGGGGGGCTCATTGGTGTGTGCCGTCACATGCAGCTAGATCTGTTGTTCTCTTAAAGAATTTAATATTTATGCCAGGCGGTGTGGGAGACAGGGGCAGGCAGATCCCAGTGAGTTTGAGACAAGCCTGGTCTATAAGAGCGAGTTCTAGGACAGGCTCCAAAGCAACAGGGAAACCCTATCTTGAAAAACCAAAAAAGAAAAGACCTTAATCTTGGAGGTTTAGAGATGGATCTCAGTTGGTAGTGTGGGCCTAGCATGCATTGTGAAGCCCTGTGTTCCACACTTAGCCCCGAACAACATTGTCCACATGCTTGTAATTCCAGTATCTGGGAAGCTGAGACCTAAGGACTAAAGTCCGACGTCATCCTTAGCTATGATAGCAGTTTTGAGACCAACCTGGTCTACTTCTACCTTGTCTTTTAAGGGGGGCTGTGTGTTGGTGAGAAGGCTCAGAAAGTGAAGGGGCATGTCAGAAACTCTGATAACCTAAGCTCAACTTCGGAGCCCACAGGGCGGAAGGACGAGGCTGACCCATCCCCTGAAAGTTGTTCTGACTCCTGCAAAGGCACCATGGCCCACACACTGCCCCCTCCCAATATGTAGATAGGTGATTAAGATAACAGAATATCCATGTTTACCTATATAGGTATATATGATGTTATTCATATATAAATATGTGAGACTTATACATATGCATGCCATGTGATATAGACAGGAATACATGTATGTGTGCATAAGTACACACATATATATTGAGATTTATCAAGGAAATCAAAATATCACAGATCATACGACTATGAATGTAAGTGGTCTCAGAGCCCCTCAAGTCAGGGAAACTGGAAGTGTCTCTCCAGCCTGCCTCTGAGGATAGAGATGCCACCTGCTCAGAGGTGGAGATGCACCTTTATCCACACATTATCTCTTCAGAAAACACACTCCGAACGCCAGAAAACATTTACTGGTTACCTCGGCATCATTTAACCTGACCTTGTTAGCACCCAAAGCTAACCAAAGTAACAACACAATTACTTCCACCTGCAGTGGTTTGAAAGAACATTTAGCACACAATACTCACGGGTCAGAAACTGGGAGGGCTGGGTCAAAGATTCACCTCTTGGACCTCTCACGGGCTGCCATAAAGGTAGCAGTTGGCACAGCTGCTCAAAGCTCAGTGGGAAGAATGGGGCCCTTCCAAACCCACGTGGAGCTCTTAGAAGGATTTAGTGCCTCGCACAGCCTTGGCAGAAGGCTACCTCAGTTTCTCACCACAGGGGCCTCTCCCCACACAGCATCTTCCTTCATTGCAGTGTAATAAATGAGACTGTAAAGCAGTCAAGCAAGATGGAAGTCAGCCTGGACTCTGTATCCGAGAAATGTGCCTGTTGGGTTTGACAAAAACAAATGACTAAGTCCAGACTACAAACCAGGGAAGCAGTGAGATGGGGCAGGACCATGAAGGCCTTGTCAGAGTTGACTGCGTGGTGGGGAAGGACAGACAGGCTTCTCCTGACATGAACTCTGGGAAAGACAAGATAAGCTGGTGGGGTAATTCTGATCATTGTGTTATGTTGGCTAAGTGTGCATACATGCCTCTGTGTGTGTGTGTGCAAGTGCATGTGTGTTGTTAGCTTTAAAGGTTTATTTTCATTACGCACATCTGTGTGCCCATATGTGTCCATGACTACTGGTACCTCCGAAGCTGGAGTTACAGGCAGTTGTGAACTGCCTGGTGTGGACGCAGGAATCACGATTACAAATTTTGTTTTTTCTTTTCTTTTCTGTCTTTCTTTCTTTTTTGGGGGGTGGAGACAGGGTTTCTCTGTGTAGCCTTGGCTATCCTGAAACTCACTCTATAGACCAGGCTGGCCTCAAATTCAGAGATTTGCCTGCCTCTGCCCCATGAGTGCTGGGATTAAAGGCGTGAGCTGCCGCTGCCCAGATGGAAATTATAAGTTTTGAAAGTGAAAGACTTTTTTCATGTACCTATCACTATAAGTTTTCCTAGCTCAATCTGAACAAATGCCTGTTCACTCCAGATCCAGCACCAAGGAAAGACGGAAGGAAGGACTCCATCCAACCCAGCTTGTCGGACCAACGTGTCTGCCGGGTTTATTTACACAAATACGGTGGCTGCTTACAAGAATGTGGGTGACCTGAAAGCTGTGCTGTGGAAAATTTCCACCCGTGAACGGATGATGACTCTCCACAGATAGAGCCCTTCCTTCTGCTGACTTTCCATCTCCTATGTTCCCTAGCAGCCACCGGAGATAAACTATGGCAGTCACAGAGGCATGCACGGTAGAGCGGCTGTGAGGCCAGCATACGAGGTAATTTGTCCTGCAATCCTCTTCACTTGGGGTTGTGTACAGCCTCTCTTAGTAAGCATTGTAACAGTCTAGTTATTTCACCTGTATGTTCTATGCACACACATCTTTCTTCAAACAATACACCTATAAACATCTGATACCCTCCTCTGTACTGAACTATCCCTGTGTCTGAAGCAATAGTATAGGTTCCCATCCTCACTAACAACTCAAATTTAGACAGCTTCTATTCATATGTATTCCCAGTGTATCAACTGTAAAGAACAGAAGGGCTAATCCAGCCTGAACTGGTTTGGGGTACGTATGCAATGAGGCAAAACTGTCTAGCAAATTTTAGGAGAATTTCCCAGTTTCTGTCTACACTGTTTCCCCCTTACTGTCTACACCAATCACTTTTCTGTTGATGTAATAAAAATAAAATGACCAAAAACAATTTATAGGAGGAGGAAAGGGCTTATCACAGCTTATAGTTCCAGAGGGGACATAGCCCATCGTGGTAGAAAAGGTGCCAGGGGCATGAGGCAGGGGCATGAAGACAGCCTTGGAGTCAGGAAGCAGAGATACCACATTTCATTAGCACACAGGAAACAGAAAGTGAGGGCAGAGAGGGGCCCAGGCTATAAAGCCTACCTCCAGGGATGTACTTCCTCTACCAAGGCTCCTCCTTCTAAAGGTTCTGTAACACCCCAAAACAGCACCACCAACTGGAGACCAAGTGTTAAATTCACGAGCCTGCAGGGAACATTGCTAATGGAGACCATCACACCGTCTTATGCCTATGTATAAATGGGCATGCATATTATTAAAATCAGTTGTCTGCGTTATGGGAAGGACACGGACCATAGGAAAATAATGCACACCCTCATTTGCCAATCAAAGCAGGGAGTCACTGAAACTGCACCCCATACTAACCAACCTTCCTTTATGTCCCACAGAAAGAGACCCCAGGCTGTAGGCTGAGGCCCTCCAGGGCTCTCACTCATCCGGCCTGCTGTTCGTCCGGACAGTGGACACCTCTTTAATCTGGACTATAGCTTTGCTCCAAATAAAGAGACTTTGCTTCTTTTGCAGATCTGTGTGAGCCCTTATTTTCAATTCGTTGGATAAGGGGCCAAGAATTTGGAAACACCCGGCCCAGCTCTGCAGCAGTGGTAGCAAAGGCAGGCATGAGAGGGGGTGACTGCAGTCTCAGAGAGGGTCTGATGACTCTACTCACACCCGCCTCTGTGAGACAACATCAGTAGGTCCGATTGTCTTGACACTTCCAGTGGGCAGTCATACCTCCGTGATTAAATGTCATACTTGGACGGCAGCTGTTCAGAGCAGTGCCTGTTGCTAGGGAATTAAATCGTTTCCAGGGGATGAATTCAGTCCTTTTCACAGGAAGCCTAGAGTGATGAGCAAACATTGCAGGGTGCCACCTTCTCGTCCACGGGTCCCATTGCTGACTTTCTCCTAGTGTCTGCACTCTGTGTGGCCCTGTGTTTCCGCAGAGAAGGCTCCAGCCTCTTCAGAAGCTGAATCTGTACTCTTGCTGTTGATTGGCTTAGGAAAGAACATGTGATCTGGCTTTAACTAATGAGAGTCGCTAAGTCTGTTATGAGGACACTTGTGAGAAAAGCTTTGTTCTTAAAACACAAGTTGGAGACGGGTCTTCTATTCCTTTCTCTATCTATTCCTCTGTCTATCTTCAGCATGTTCATAGTTCTGGGGGAGGATGCAGTGGTGGGAGCTTTTGTAGCCACATCATCACCAGGAGACAACATTATTAATATTCCAAAGATGGCAGGAAGTATAGAAAGGGCCTGGATCACCAATAATTGAATTACCTTCATAATAGTTATCCATCTGGAGAGAATATACTTCATCGTATTAGGCTCAATTAATTGAGATAGAGTAATAAGTAGCCAAAAGAGCCAATCTTATACAAGGATACTCATGTCTTAGGGTTTCCATTGCTGTGGAAAGACATCATAAGCATGGCAACTCTTATAAAGGAAAACATTTAATTGGGGGTGGCTTATGGTTTCAGAGGTTCTGTCCTTTATCATCATGGTGAGGCGTGGTGGTGTACAGGCACATGGTGCTAAAGGAGGAACTGAGATTTCTAGATCTTGATCCAAAGGCAGCAGAAGGAGTCTGGGTTCTACATTACATGTAACGTGAGCATAGGAGACTTCAAAACCCGTCCCCACAGTGACACTTTTCCTCCAACAAACCAACATAACTCATTATCTCCATTCAGGAGACACAGACAAAAATCATGTTGGAAATAGGTTCAGTAAGTTGCTAAAATCATAGACACTTTTTTTAAATATATATACAATCCACAAGGACATTGAACCCAAGTCCTTGTCCTAGAGCATGTCAAGTGAGTGTTCCATTTCTGAGCCTTATCCACAACCCTTAACAGAGTTGTATGCAAACCTATTTTATACAACTGTTTATGGATACTTGATCCTCTGACTAACATCTTTGTCAAATTCTAGAGGTCTGAGGTGTAGCTCAGCGTAGAACTTGGGCTTAGCAAGGAGGGAGGGAGAGAGAGAGAGAGAGAGCAAATTAATGACATTTAATTAGTAGTCAGATACACATTGGCTCTTAATATTTTGTTTGCTTTTCAGATGTTTTTCTTTGTCCTCAAATCTAGTTTTATGAGGATAATATAAATCACTTAAGACTGTGGAGTTTTCTTTCTTTTCCTGTCAAGGAGGCTGTCTTGCAAATATCTTGTTAAAATTGTAATAATACAAATTACAGCTAGGTGGGATGATACATACTTATAATCCCAGCATTTGAGCTGAGACAGGAGCATGACAAGTTCAGGACCAGTCTGTGTTACATAGTGAGACCATGCTGAACAATCTTAAATAAGTGAAATATTATAACAATGGTAAAAGCTGCCATTTACTTAATGACAATGGGCCAAATTTTACATGTGTGCACATGTCGCTATACATACATGATGATATGTGTAGATATCTACACATGTATATAATTTTTAATTCTCATGATAAGTTTATAAAGTTCACATTAATAATTCCTCACTTGACAAGCAAGGAAATGTTTTGAAAGAGGAACTTAAACCACAAACAGCAAATACAGTGTCTAAATTCAAACTAAGACATGTCCGTTTGAACTGATAAGATGGCTCAGTGCTCAAGAGCATTGGCTGATCTTGCAGAGAATCTGGGTTTGGTTCCCACATGGTGACCCTCTCCTAACCTCTGAGGGTGCCAGTGTGCATGCCATGCACATACGTACAAACACGGAGATTAAATCTTTAGAAAATGGCCACAAGTCCACTTAGCAGAAAGGTCCTGCTTTTCCCTCTTCCGTGTCTTCTCCTCTGCTCTGTACAGCTGTTTAGAACCCCAAGAGGGATGGGGTATTCATTTCCTTCACTGTTACAGAATGACAGAGGAGTTGAACCAGATGAAACGTTGGCTCAGGGTTTTGGAGCTTGTCGTTCATGTGGCTCAGCCCTGTTGCTTTGGGGCCTGTTGGAGAAGTACACAGTGGGGGATATATTAACGTTTCACATGAAGCAGAAGGAAGCAAGAGTCCTTCTACGGGGCGCTTCTACTTAAACCCGCTTCTCACGGGCCTCACCACCTCCTGCTCCTTTAACATCTGGGTCTTTAGAGGACAGTCAAGATCTCAGCTATAACAGATGCCATGCATGCACATCCTTACTCCCTGGGTCATCTCTGGCTGAGATTCTAACAGGACCAACCGATGGCGAGGAAGCTGACTGAATCGTTTGTACCTACATAATTAATGCTTTACCGTATCTCATTAGAATCTGCGATGATTTCAACCTATCATAGATCACATCATAAAGGAAACAAACTTTCTCTAGATACCTAGATACTCAGTTCTGAGTTTCAATGAAGAAGAAGAAAAGAAGAAGAAGAAGAAGAAGAGGAGGAGGAGGAGGGACAGGAGGAGAAGGAAGAAGAGGAAGAGGAAAAAGCAAGACCCAGATTCTCTCTTTCCTGCGCAGAACTTGGCTGACGTGCCTTGTCAATGGCCCTTTTCTTGTGTGAAAGGTGACTGGCAGTGTCTTCTCTTGGCAGAGGGCATGTCAGAATGGGAGAGGTGGCTTAACGCTGTTTCCCCCAGTAAGTGTTCTCATTATAGCACATGGACCCCATGGGGGTTTCAAATACCCATAAAAACACAAGGATCAAAAGACCATCAGTTTCCAAATATCAAAAGAAAATTATAATCATGTATCATAGCTATCTAATTAAATTAAATATTTAACACAAAATAATGTGACAACTTCACTCATTGCCGGTGTTTGTGCTCATGAGGCTTGTTAGCTTTGAAGGTGACTTGAAAGGTCCAGTTTTCTCACTGTCTAAGAAATCCTAAACACACAGGGAACACTACTGAGAGGTCTATCAGAGCCTCCCGCAAAATAAGCGAGTTTTAAAATGAAGTATCTTCAGAGATGATTCCCAGGAAGATCCAGTTTGTGTCGTCTGTGACTGCATTTTGACATACAGTATACTCTGGACTCACACTCGCTATCTCAACAGTCTTGTGGACGTGTGACCCGTGCAGCCGAGGACCCCATGGTTAGAAGGGCCCTGAGACTGGCTTAGTGAGTGGCCGCCATCGTCTGAGACGTCTTCATAACTTCTAAATCATGAGTCATGTGTTTTCATTTTGCATTGAGCTCTACAAACTAGGTTGCTGATACTGTCCAGACCTTCCACGGACAAAGCCTTGGCGTAGGCTTGCTTTTAGAGTGCTTAATTCGTTTGAAAAAGCGTGTGAGATTATTGCTGTACCTCTTACAAGGTAGCTCCTATGGTTTGACTGTTTTTTTCTCCAGAAGTCATGAGTTGAAAACTTAATCCTCCAGAGTCATATTTAATAGTATTTAGGACCTTTCGGGGATGCGTGAGTAAGGAAAGAATCTGAACTCATGACCAGATCGAGCCATACATGGATTAGTGGATTAATTAGTTATGGAGGAAGGAAGTTAACAGGGTTGGATGTATTCTAAAAGCAGATTAGCTGCCTTGGTGAGCTCCTTTACACCCCCGCCCATGTCCTGTGCAACCTGGGGACCATGAGACCTACCAGGGAGAAAGTCCACTCTAGATGTGGCCCCTTGATCTTAGACTTCCAAGCTTCCAGGCCAGGAAGACACATATGTGTCTTTCCTTTATACTTCTCCTCGTTTCAAGCATTCATTGAAAACACAGGAAGACAGTAGCTAGATTTTGAAGGTTTGGAAAATATTGTACTTACTCAAAAAACAGAGCTGCTATAACCAAGGATAAGACCAAATTGGAAGGCACCTAATATGGCACTAAGAATTTATGAACAATAAAATGGTTCTTCAGAATCAGAGCCAGGCTCATGAGACGTATCGGAAGCCAAACCTCATCCAGGCTGTGGACCTAGAACGCACACGCATCACTTTCTCAGATTAAATTTTAATTGGCTGCAGGGCATTTTCATCTAACGAGAGAAAGTTTGAAAACGGTCCCATCCAGAGCTCATCAAAGTGCTGTCCAGACAAAGGGCTCCATTTTGTGTTTGGGGAAGCCAGGGGAGGAAAATATCCAGGCCGTATCCTGCTGATATCCAGGAAGCTCAAAGGCAGGATAAGGCCGAGTGCACAGGGCAGCTGGCCGCCAAGCACTTAGCCCTCCCCTTTCCTCCGCGTCCCCTGAGTCAACAGGGTCAGGGGAGGACACTGCCGCTTGTGGGACATGAAAGGCAAGCCTACACCCTGGACTGGCGAGCAGGTACATCCTCCTCCCCAGAAGAAGGTCCCAGGGCTACGGGACAGTGTGAAAGGCAGGCGGGACATCTGGGAGCTGCCGCCATCATCAGTTTCATTGCTAAAATTTATATTTATGGATGGCATGTTGAAAAATACAGACATGCTCGTCACAGGGAATTTAGAAAACAGAAGAAGATGGCAAGAAGGAATCACCTATAATGCTGTGATGTTTAGAGAAACCCTCGAATTAGCAGATAGCGGGCTGTATTTCCTTCTGATCTGTTTTTCACACAGGATGGTGTCCGCTTGGCCTGGAATGGTTCAGCCAGACGGGCAACGGTTGGAAAGAGCTGCTCCTAGCAGTTCTGTGTTATGGGCTGCAGCCATGCGTTTCCCAGAATGCCAAGGAAGATTTCCCCCTCCCCACTTCTCAGCAAAGAGAGTAGTTAGAGGGACACAAAGCAAGTTCGGGTACCATTTGTACTGCGGTGTGGGAGATACATTTGCCAGCTGTTTTACTTAGAGCTACTTAAATATCAGATCCATAACTTTTAGTATAAATAGGATCTGGCATATTCTATCTTTCCCAAGTCACTAACCAGACGTCCTGGTACCATTCTGGAGTAATGCATCCATCCTTCGTTCATCTGAATTTCTGCCATGAGACTCCTTATATTGCTGTCTGAAATCGGAAGCCTTTGGGTTTCATGTACTTCTGGTGCCTGAGTACTTTAAAAGGCATAGATTTTTGTTTCTTTGTTTTCTTTTTTTGTCTTCTCTGAATTGTTAACTTGAACTTTTCGGATCAGGGAGCATGGGATAGTGTCTGTGAGCTGTACACTGAACATATTCTCTGCCACTAAGTCCTTCACTGGTCCCCTTATATAATTTTGTTTCTGTAGTCTCTGTTCTGTCTAATCCTTACATCTTTGTAATTCTTGGAACTTTTGTTCTACATAACCCATGTTTGATCTAATGAAGATTAGGATTTCTCCTGAGTTTTATTCCAGCATTACTAGTGTGCTTGTAGTGATTTCTTTAATATTAAAAAAACAAAACAATTTATGTGTATGGGTGCTTTGCCTGCTTGCATGTCTTTGTATCATACGCATGCCTGGCGCCTCTGGAGGTCAGAGGGCATCAGATCCTGGAGCTGCATTTGGGTGTTGGGATTTGAACCAGTGTCTTCTGGACCCAGCAAGTGCTTCAGATGCTGTGGTGTTGGAGTAAGAGACAGCTGAGCCACCTGTTGTGGGTTCTGGGAGCTAAAACTCAACTCACCTGCAAGAGCAGCAAGTCTGCTTGACTGCTGAGCCATTTCTAGCCCCACCTTTCTTTCTGAGGCGGAATAACATCCCACTGTAGCGGTTCCATGCTGGACTTTGTGCTCCCACTTGAGAAGTTAAACGCTACCTTTTTTGCTTCACAACAATCCACACATACACACGCACCTCTACGGGGCTGATGTTTAGGAATAAAACCTTGTGCAAATGTCTGTTACTAGCTTTGTTTTTGTAAGGCACCAGATCAAAACAACACAAGCAATATTCATTCTGCTTTAAGTCCTAAGGAATAAATAATATTTCATATGGAAACAAGAGAGAAGAAAGGCTTCCATTATTCACTCAGCATGTACTGCAGATGGATAGGAAAATCAGGATCGCTGCTCCCAGATGAAGTGTCCTGGAAAAAACTAATCCTAATTCAAAATTCACTTAACCTACATAGATCAGTTGCCAGTTTCAGGGTTAAGATGTGCCTCAGCTTTTTAAAGTTCTATTTACCCACTCATCGACCCAATGTGTGTAGCATGTATATGTGTGTTGTATGTTTGTGTACATGTATGTGGTACCTTCATCTGTTCGTGTGTGTGCATGTGGAGGCCAGAGGTCAACTTTGGTTATGGTTCTCTATCCCTCGCCATCTTTTTGAGACAGAGTCTCTCATTGAATCTGGAGCTCATGGTTTTGGCTCAGGGCTGGCCAGATCCTGCTGGCCCAGGTTCCCTCCATACTCACCCTCACTCAGCACAGGGTTACAGATGCTTGCCACCCAGTCGGGCTTCCTTCACATGGGGACTCGAACTCAGGTCTTCATGTTAGTACAGCCAGCTCTTTACTCCCTGGGCCAGCTCTCCAGCACTGAATGGGCCTTAAGATAGCACTTTTTATAGTTTGAAATCTCTTCTCTTTGTCATGGCATCTCTGACTGTTGGGGAAGGTGACTTCTCTGCTGCTCAGGTAGCGATGCCTGCACTCTGGGTTTTAAAAGGTCACAGATTTTCCTGCCAGTTACTCTACCAGCTTGCCTCTGGTGAGCCTGTGTCAGCTTCCTCTGAGCAGCCCTTGGTTCCTGCCCTCGGTCTCTTTGTTCATGTCCAGCCTTGTGATGTGAGATTAGGTCAGACGCAGCAGCAGAGTTGACTCACTGGCTATGATCCCTGAGTTTCACCTGCTAACACTAAAATGTGTGTTAAGAGATGGTGAGGGGATTGAGAAACTGAGATGTCATAATAATCAAGGACTTTGCCCGAATCTTGTGCCCTCCCCCCACACAATGGAGAGCTGATGCCACTTTGCTCGAAACTTTACGAAATGGAGAGCAGTGCACAGCAGCAGTGATTTCCAGCACGACTGGGAGGAGTTCGTGAGACGGAAGAAGGTAAAGCTTCCACTCAAGGAAGTGTAAATATTATGGAAGAAAACAAAGTTATTTTGGGGCCAACAAGATGGCTCGTTGGGCAAAGGTGCGTGCCTCCCAACCTGGAGATCTGGGCTGGAACCCTGGGGCCCACGTGGCAGGAGGAGAGAACTGACTGCTGTAATTTGTCCTCCGGCCTCCACGTGCACCACTGCATGTGCACGTGGATGCTCACACCCACACCGGGTAAATAAGTACAAATCATGTTTGGGCAAATGATCAGTGCGAGTGACTGAGCATTTGGCTTGAAACATGGTTCTAGACTGAATCTGCTTCCTTAGAAACTTGATTTTTTTTTTTTACTTGTCTCCGGTGAATATTGGTTCTTCGCTTTCTATGAGCAGCTGGGATAACTCACCTCAGTGATGGTTTCAGTAGTTTTGTGTTTTGAAGGCAGACTTCTGAGATTCACACGGCACCTGTTTTGAGACACGGTCTCATGAAGCCCAGAACAGCCTCAAACAGCTGAGGGTTGTCATAGACTCTGCCAGTGCTGAGGGTTGGGATTACAGGATGCCCACCAGGCTGGCTTTATATGGCGCTGAGGATAAATTGTAAGAATTCATTCACACTCAACAAGCCCTCTTCCAACTGAGCCAGATCCTCAGTCTCCTGCCTGTTCATTCCCGTATTATAATAACTATAATACTTCCTTTAAAAAAAGTATCCTTTGCAGAGCAATGGTAATGTATGCCTTTAGTCCTAGCACTCAGGAGGCAGAGGCAGGAGGATCTCTGTGAGTTCAAGGCCAGCCTGGTCTACAGAGAGAGTTCCAGGACAGCCAGGGCTGCACAGAGAAGCCCTGTCTCGAAAAACCAAAAGCAAAGCCAAGCACAGCAAACCAATGCAAAACAAAACAAAACATATCTTTGTTTCTTGTAAGGTCGGTTTAGAAAACTTGGAAGGAGTTATACTTGCTTCAAGTCTTAATCGTTGTAATCACAGAATGCACCGGATTAAGGTTCTGGTGTGTTTTGTCCCGGCCTTCTTGAACCTTAATTGTCTTAGTGGCTTCACATCATTAAATGAATATCTTTCCATGTTTATGGTTTGGGACTTGACACCAGTCTAAAGACAAGAATCTGAATGCTCAGACGGGCATGTGGGGCTTGCCTGTGGGCCAGCTGCTGGGAGACTGGGTCAGGAGGGTGGTTTGAGATTGGGAGTTCTAGGCCAGCCTTGGCAGGACAGCGATGATCCTGCCTCAAAAGCAAGCAGCCAAAGCAGCTGAGGACCGGCGGAAAAGCACAAGGGCCTGGGTCCTCAGCACGGGGGGTGGGCCTGGGGAATACGAATATTATTGATTATCCAGGAGGAGGTGCCCAAGACGCAGGTAGGAGGAAGTGTGGACCGTCTGCTAGCTGTCTCCCCACCCTGCTGCACTCTTCCCTGGCTTCACTGCCGTCCTTGCCCTTTGTGCTGGAAGCTCTTTGCTCCGGTCTGGCTCCAGTCCCACCTCGGGCAGCCTTCTATAGGTGCTTACAAGCACAGAGATTAATTGTCTTCTGTGACTTCTCACTGTGATAGCTTTAAAATTCCTAAAGCGAGATGATTGGCTCAAAGGAGGAGTTCTCTAAGACTCGTAGTAAGTTCTGCCAAACCGCGGCCTGGAAAGGCACGGAGACCAATTCTCTAGGTCGGTGTAGAAGAAGTGGGCTCCGCGGTGGGACTAAAGTCTACTTCCTTTTATTTTTCTGAAAGACTTATTTTTATTTTGGGGGTGTGTTTTGCCCAAATGTACATATTGGTGCAATAAGTGCTCTTGGCAGAGGCAGAGGTCAGAAGAGGGTGTGGGATCTCCTGGAACTGGAGTTACAGACAGTTGTTAGGCATGTGGGTGCTAGGAATCAATACGGTGTCCTCTGGGAGAGCAGCAGGCACTTTAACCACTGAGCCGTCACTTCGGCTCCCGGAAAGCCTGTTTTAGTTAGTGCTCTTTGAGCAGAGTCTTCCAGCACCCATCATACTGTTGCGTCAATGCTGAAACAAACCCCGCTTCGTGCCTTGGATAGCTAGGAGCATCTGTTTCTGTTTCTCTCCTCTTCTGAGGACGCCTTTGCTACCTGTGAGCCATGCCTAGGTCTCAGCAGTGAGCTAGTTTTCCTGAAAACACATAGGAAAATATTATTATTCCAATATCTTCATATTTTAAGGGTAGCCAAATAACCAAACCAAACTAGATTTTGTTTCTATGCCTTAAGCCAATGTCTCTGAGTACAGCCAAGTGGGCCGTGTGTAACAGCAAATTGGTGTGGTTCACACAGTGTCGAAATCTGATGATTATTACACACAAGCTAAAAAACATTCAAGGCTGTTTGCACCATCCAGGTAGGCTTTCAGTCTATCTTCTGGAGTGTGAAATGAGTGGGGTCAGAGGTCACCTATAGTAAGAGTAGTGCTACAGGGTCAGAGGTCACCCACTGGTAAGGGCAATATTGTGGGGTCAGAGGTCACCCACTGGTAAGGGCAGTACTGTGGGGTCAGAGGTCACCCACTGGTAAGGACGGTGCTGGGGGTCAGAGATCACCCACTGGTAAGGGCAGTGCTGTGGGGTCAGAGGTCACCCATTGGTAAGCATAGTGCTGTGGAGTCAGAGGTCACCCATTGGTAAGGGCGGTGCTGGGGGTCAGAGGTCACCCACTGGTAAGGGCAGTGGTCACCCATTGGTAAGGACGGTGCTGGGGGTCAGAGGTCACCCACTGGTAAGGGCAGTGCTGTGAGGTCAGAGGTCATCCATCAGTTAGGACAGTGATGTCTATTGCAATGTAACATGAGCCAAACTCAAGCTCAGAGATGGACTCAGTGGTTAAGTGGCTGCTCTTCCAAATGACCAGGGTTCAATTCCCAGCACCCACCTGGTGGTTCACAACCATCTGTAACCCAAGCACTGGTGGATCTGGTGCCTTCTTCAGCCCCCCATGGACACTGCATGCATGTGGTACACATATATACATGCAGATAAAATGAGCCAAACTTGCAATTTCAAATTTCAGTAAGTTATTTTTTAAAATAAATGTGTCTAAATACTGTCATTTAAACCTACGATCAGTGTGAAAAAAAAAAAAACGTTAGTGAGACATTAAAACCATTCTCTATGGGGCCCTCTGCATACATGTGATAGTTGTGTAGCCTAGTGACTCTGTGGGATTCCTCGCAAAGGGAGCAGGGGTGTCCCTGGTGCTTTGGCTGCCCCTCATGAGGAACTGCCTTGCCCTGCCTGAACACAGGGGGAGCTGCTTGGTCCAAAGACGAACTTTGCTGGTGCCCATAGGAGACCTGTCCCTTTCTGAGTGGATACAGAGGAAGGGTGGACTGAGGCAGGGTGGGGAGGCTGTGGCTGGGATGTAAAATAAATAAATAAATTTTAAAAAAGGACCTGGAAAACAAAGACTTGCTTGGTATTATGTATGTTATTTTTCTAGAAATTAAGATTGTCTATACAAAAAAAGACAAAATCTCCTGAGTGAGTTGGGAGCATGGGGACCCTGGAAGAGGCTTGAAGGGGAGAGGAGAGGTAGGGAGGGGAGCAGAGAAAAGTGTAGAGCTCACTAAAAATCAATTTAAAAAACTGATAAAAAAGAATATGGTATTAAAAGCAAAGCTAAGTCTTAATATCTAATATATGAATGTATCAGAAAAACTATATAAGTCTTGCAGAATATCATGTATAGTATAAGCAAAAAGCTTATTAAATTCCTGGATGGTAATATTGTCTGAAATTATATAACTTTCAAATTTACTGATATATTTATTAATCAAATAATGTTATGTCTGTTTTGAGATTAAAAAAATTATCTATACCTACTATAGAATCTTTTACCTAAGTTATGATCTATTTATAATGAAACTTTTAGATAACACTGAAAACACCTTTTAAAAATAATAGGTGTTTGCAGTTAGGGTGGTGGGATACATTGGGCACAAATCCCAATGTAAAATAGTAAAATATCACACTGAAAAACATATTTATATGTGCATAAAACTATCAAAAAAATTCATCAAAAAAATTCTCTATTGGTTTAAAGATATTTTGTGTTTAATACTTACAGGACATCTATGTTAGGACAAGCTATATTCTATGTCTTTAAAATCCTTGTGTGGAGTAGGAGAAAGGGCTCAGCAGGTAAAGACCATTGCCTCCAGGACTGCCGATCTGAGTATAATTCTTGAGGCCCACATTGTCTTAGGGTTTCCATTGCTGTGAAGGGTCATTCTGTTGCATGACCATGGTGACTCTTCCAAAGGAAACATTTAATTAGGTGACTTACAGTTTCAGAGTTTTAGTCCATCATCATCATGGCGGGACATGGTAACATGTGGGCAGATGTGGTGCTGGAGCTGAGAGTCCTACATCTTGGTTAGCAGGCAACAGGAAGTGAACTGAGACACTGGGCATGGCTTGAGAATATATGAGACCTCAAAGCCCGCCTCCACAGTGACACACTTCCTCCAGCAAGACCACGTCTACTCCATCAAAGCTACACCTTCTAGTAGTGTCACTATCTTTGGGGGGCATTTTCTTTCAAACCACTATACTTAAGATGGAAGGAGAGACATAAGCTGTCCTTTGGTCTCTACATCTGTGTCATTGATCCACATACAATTACATTCTGTACACATGTGCACACATGCACACACACACACAATAAATAAACTTAATAAAAATTTTAAGTCCTATGGATAGTGCTATCATATGGAACAGATCAGAGGTTTATG